TAGTGCAATATGAAAACATTCTTCTTTGGTGTCTAAGTGCAAACCCTTGAATTGTGTGTGCGCACCCCCCTCCCCCCACACACACAGAGAGAAAAGAAATAGAAGTAGAGCTCAGGGTGTCCCATCAGTGCCACAGAGAAATGGTAGACAGTTGTAATGTCGCTCTTGCTTTTCAAGTAAGTCAGACTATTTTAATTCCGGCAAGAATTAGAAATAAATGTAGAAAAATTTGATAGACTCAACCATACCATTTCTGTTTTGGTTTAAAGGATTTCTATCTATCTGCTATTTTAAGTAATTTAAAATAATTTGATCCAGGATAATAGATTATCCTGTACTTCCAAATTAAACCATATAGTGCGGTAATTGAGTTAGGTGGAGAGGGTTGAAATCACACAAAGTTTACCAGCCATATTAGGACATTGCTTGTAAGAGAATTGCTCAGGCTTCTATGCATTATCTTAGGGAAGATACTCTGCGTAAATTAAAACAGGAGGTTTTAATATCTAAAAGAGAAATAATTGTGAAGCAGGGCATGGAAGAAAATAACACAGGCTTTATAATGTGGTCTTGTTAGCCAGGCATGGTGGTGCATGCTTTTAATCCCAGCATTTAGGAGACAGAGGTAGGGGGATCTCTGTGAGTTCGAGGCCAACCTGGTCTACAGAGTGAGTTCCAGGACAGCTAGGGATACACAGACCTTATCTCTAAAAATCAAAACAAACAACAAAGTGGTCTTGTCCATCTCTGGAATAAAGATGAGACAGTAACATTAAGCTCTCCTCTTCCTATTTTAATGCCAGATTTCTATGTAAGCAGGCTGGTACCCCACACACCCGCCTTCAACTACACCTTCAGTGAAATGGCCAGAGAAGCGTGCTTAGTCCGTCCTTGCAGTAGAAGAAGCAGCCTTTAGAATCACTTTCGAGCATGATTAAAGCACAGTGCTGTTTGCGTAGGCTCGGGGGATCTTGGGCGCTTGGGGCTGCCCTAGATAGCTAGCTTTCTTACTCCTTCAGCCCGGTGCTACGAGAAATCGAAAATCATTATGTCAGTATCATGTCACATCTCCTAAGCCAGGCTTTCTGTATTCACAGAAAATAAGCAAGTTTGGGGCAAGAGCCTCTTTTGTGCCACCTGGACAAGGCCCAGCTGAAATTGCATGTCGCACAGAGGCCTGACTGCTCAAAAAGCCCTGAATGACTGCCCAGAGAGTGCCCTGGGCTGGAGGGTGCTCGGTGGATCTGTGGACATTGTCATTCAGGTCTGGTTTCTGGTAATTAGCACTCCTGCCTGGGCTTGGCTGTCAGTGAGCCTTTATGACAAATTGCAAAATCTGCACGGCCTTCTGAGAGATGGATAAGGAGGCCCAATGGCACTACAGGAGATATTGGCAGCGAGGGCTCTGAACAGGGATGCTCTCCGAAGGTTCTCCCCCCTTCCCCCCAAAAAAACCCGGAACCTAGAAACCCTTTTCTAAATGCGCCGGAAAGTATACATTCAGTTACAGAGTTGGGATCTGAAAAGATTTTGACAGGCTGGAATGATAGGCTCAATTTAATAGGGTGAAATGGGAGTAGAAATAAATGGAAAGTTTTTTATTGGGGGTTTGAAAAATACCAGCAGTTCTGCAAGGAGGGGGGAACAGGGTGAGGGGTGTAACTGAGGAACGGCCTTCATATGGTGGCTTACTGCCATCTAGAACTCCAGCCCTGAGGGATCTGAGATGCTTTTCTGGCCCGGCGTGCACATGACGCACAGACATGCAGATAAAACACCCCGATACACAGCCGGGCAGTGGTGGCGCACACCTTTAAGCCTAGCACTCGGCAGGTGGACTTGTGTGAGTTCGAGGCCAGCCTGGTCTACAAAACAAGTTCCAGGATAGCCAGGCTGTTATACAGAGAAACCCTGTCTCTAAAACAGCCCCCCAGTAACACCCACATACCTAAAATAATAAACTAGGCGGTGGGGAACGGTATCAGCTGAGTGTCTAGCCTGAGAAGGTGACAGGCACCTTCACCTGCACAGCGTGATCTGGAGACAGGACAGTCCAGGACACAGTCTCCCTTGAAAGACAGCAAGGCATTTGTGTGGAGGCCTATAAGAGCAACTGGGGGAGTCTGAAGGATGAAACCCTAAGTAAGGCCCTTGTCTTACCCATCTGCTTCAAGATCCAGCAGGCCTCTTGTGTCTGTTCTAAACATGCTGACTTAGGCGTGGGGCAATTGTTTGTTTGTGTTTTGTTTCTGTTTGTTTCAGAGCAGGGGGTGGGTGGCCCAGGGTACTTTGTGGCATCATGATGCCTTTGCCCTCCGTGCTGTGCATGTTCTGTGAGGTTTTGAAACAGGTAGCTGAAGGGCCAAGTCACTGTGAGGCCACGAACGTTTCAGGCTGTAATGAACTGTGAGTCAGGGCTTCTGTGAGCATAGTTTACTTTATTCTGCCCAGGCAGGGATGTGGTCACCGTCTTGCTAGAGACAGAGTGTGTGTGGGTGGTTAGTGACTTCTTGTTTCTTTGGTCAAGTATCTGACAGAAACAACTTGAAAGAGGCAGGATTGATTCTCATCTTAACGGGAAAAGCTTCCTACTTGGCTCAGTTTAATTCTTTCTGGTATGAGCTTATAGCGGCCACTTCTCATAGGGTGCCCTCTGGAAAGAAACAGTATTAAGGTTTTGTTTTTTTTTTTTTTTTTTTTTTTTTTAACCCTCAAAGCCTGCCCCTGGTGACCTCATCTACCAGCTAGAGGAAAACACTGTTTACTTATGTTACTCTGTGCCCAGCAAAGTGCTTAGTACCCAGGAGAGCTTGGATAAGAAGATAGGGGTTCTTGTTCAGGCATACAGTGAGTCTGGAAAATCCGACACAGTACAGGCCACAATGCCATGACCTGGTGCACTGACACTTCCGATGTGTCATGCTAATGCTTGCGTTAAAGTGATTCAGGGGCCAGGTGGTGGCAGCACACGCCTTTATTTCCAGCACTTGGAGGCAGAGGCCCATGCATCTCTGTGAGTTCGAAGCCATCCTGGTCTACAAATCAAGAACAGCCAAGGCTACAAAGAGAAACCCTTTCTGCAAAACAAAACAAAACAACGATGCCAGATCTAGCTCAACATGGCCAGGAAGCACATGGCAGATGATTGGCTTTAGACCTGATCTTTTCAAAGAGGCAGACTAAAGGCCACTAGGTTCTGGAGCTGTGTGGTGTAGAGTATATATAGATTTGTAGCTCTGGTTCCTGGAATTGTATGAAGTGACTCATTGAACCAATCTTAGAAAGTCTACAATTTCAAGAGTGCATCTTCTTTCCCGTAGTCCTTTGCCTCCTCAGCCTCTGGGACAATGTTTTTCTGTCAGAGTGTAGTCCTGTCACGTCACAGTGTAAGATTTCAGGATTCTAACAGCATAAGAATGAGAAGTTTGGGCCAGTCATGGCGGCCCAATCCAGAACTCAGGAGGCAGAGACAGGTGGATCTCCGTGAGTTTGAGTCCAGTCTGTTTTACAAAGAGAGTTCCAAGACATCTAGGGCTGTTACACAGAGAAACCCTGTCTCAGAAAAAGAAAACAAAACAACACCCCCCCCCAAGGTTAAAAAAAACGAAAAAGAATGAAAATATTTTTTTGTTCAGATGTTTTTCCTTAATTCAAGATTATAAGGCTTGGAGAAGGTTGAGTCACCTCCATCCCCCATATATACACAGGTGAGACTAGATAGCAGCTCATGCAGAAACCACATTTTGGGGGCTTCGGCTTCCACATTGTTGAGCTTCCTTTCGTTGCTGTTCTTGACAGCCACAAAAGTCTCTCTTGCCTGTGTGTAATGAGGCGACCACAGGGAGAAGCTTGGATGAAGAAGAAAATGACATTGAGAAATAAAGACTAAAACAGAACTGGACTCATTTTCTTCCAGGAGGGGGGAAGGAGAGAGAGAGAGAGAGAGAGAGAGAGAGAGAGAGAGAGAGAGAGACAGAGACAGAGACAGAGACTGACCCTGACCGACCTTTGTTCTTTCCAACTCAGCATTTTTTAGGTGAAAGCCAACAAGAGCACAAAGACTTTTGTTCTGAACTTTTCTTGTTGTGTTTTATAGACAGAGTTTCTCTGTGTAGCCCTGGCTTTCTTGGATTTTCCTCTGTAGATCAGGCTGACGTCAGAGATCCACTTGCCTCTGTCTCCCGAGTGCGGGGATTAAAGGTGTACACTACCATGTCCAGTTTTACTGGAATTTTCTAATAAGGTACTTTTCAATTCTTGGTGACTGAACAAAATTTAAAGTTAATTGATCTTTATTTTAATTAACCTTAATAAACTTTTTTTCTCAGACAGAGTACTATTTTTCTGTCAGGAATAAACTGAAAAAAGCTCCAATTAGGAAAAAACCAAAGTCTCACCTATCCCAGACTGATCTGAAATCTCTTATCCTCCTACCTCTACCTCCTAAGTATTGGTTTCAGGTAACACCATTGCTTGGTTTATATGTTCTAGGGAGCTAGCCCAGGGCCAGGCAAGCACCCCACCAGCTGCCCCAGTTCAAAATTCTATTTTTCTTTTAGGATTGATTTTTATTCAATGTATATGAGTGTTCTGTCTGCATTCGTTTATGCATGTATGCGGTTTCTATGAAGATCACAAGAGGGTACCAGATCCCCTTGAACTGGGGTTACAGATGATGGTGCAAGAGCAGCCACTGGCCTTAACCATTGAGCCACCTCTCCAGCCTTTCCAATTAAAAAATCTTGAATCCTGTTTCTAGTCTTAGCTTTTAGGGTAGTGCTTCTTAACCTGTTGTTCTCTCCTGCTTTGGGATTGCATATCGGATATTTACATTATGGTTCATAACAATAGTACATACAGTTACAGTGAACTAATTTATGGTTGTGGTCACAGCCACATAATAAATTGTATTAAAGGGTTGCAACATTAGGAAGCACTGTTTTAAGGTTTTTATTTATCCTTAAGTAGTCCTCCTTATTATAAATTCTTTTTTCTTGCAGGTAGAAATGAATTGATAGCCAGATACATCAAACTCAGGACAGGGAAGACAAGGACCAGGAAGCAGGTACAGTACCCGCCTGCAAGGTTTGCATGTGAGCGAATGGCCCCGAGACATTGGGCTGCCTTGGCTGCTGTGCTTCAGCAATAGGAGCCCCAGTCCCAGTGCCCTGTAAGGAGTCTGCCCTGCCCTGTATGTGGCCTGGAGTGTCTTTCTCCCACTCTTCATTCATTTCTGTGGCCTGCACTAGTGTGATGTCATACACACATGGCATGGTTCACTGCCAAGCCAGGATCTGAACCTCCTCTTGCTAAGGTGTTTTCAGTCCTGCCATTTTTTCCCCCACCTCCCTAGTTGCAGAAGACTGCAGGTGCACTTCTCCTGGCAAGCCAAGAGATTTGGAGGTTCTGTGTATTTTAACATCCTGAAACGATTATGTAATTATCATGCTTTCAATGAAGTCCACCAGTGGCCTTTAGCAATGGCCTAAATGCGATACTGAGCCATACACTTCCAGGGCACTGTGGCTTTTTTAGCAATGGCCTTATGTCAGCCTCTGCTGCTGCAACTATGAAGCAGTTACAATTTTTATATGCTGCAGAACAGGAATGGGACTTCTCTTCTGACTCTGTCCAGGGCTCTATCTTCCCTGGTTCTTTTGGACACAAAGCCATCCATATTTCCGATGTGATCGAATTCACAGTTGGAATGGGTGGGAGATCAGTCTCTAAAATCAGAAAAAGAAAGTAAAACAAATAACGCATGTGACGGGTGACTCGTTAATGGGAAAACACATGTATGTTTTTTAATGTTAACCTACTTGGAATGGCACAGCACAGAGTTCAGCAGCTGCAGCCAACTAGATGTGGTAGAATATATCTCTATTCCCAGCTACTTGGGAGTCTGAGATTTCTGGATCTTTTAAGCCCCAATTCAAGACCGCTCGGGCAACATAGTGAGAGGCCTCACCTCAAAATAATTAAAAGGAGGTGAGGGGGCTGTGCCTGAGGCCTGAATGCAGCCAGCTCAACCTTGTCTCCTTAAAGCTGAGCTGCAGTGTGCGCACCCTCCTACCACACCCCTCGAGAAAGCTTACCTCTCTGGAGTGTGGATCAAGGGGCTGAGCAATCCCCCAGAAATGCTGTCTGTGCTGACCCCTTGCTGAGTCAGCAGACAGCTCAGGCAGGCACTGTCTGCTGGGGATGCACCCAGCTATGGCCCTCAGTGAGTCAGGGCATAGAGGAGAGTCTGGGTGAAAATGAGTATCCACAGGAGCCAGATGGAGGGGGTGAAGAGGATGGGGGAGCCCCTGCTTCTCTGAAAACGGAAAGAAAGTGAATTATTGAAACTCCAAAACCAAATTTGACCACCAAAAGATCTTTACTCCTGCCCAGTCCCGCTGTTAAGAATCACTGGAGATTTTGAGATGAGTAACTGCCAGAAAGCCTATGGCCTTGTAATGGGAAGGAGGTTGACAGTCTCCTAATGCAGACTGGCGTCGGGTCTCAAATGCTGAACTGGCTTTTAGCTGGTGAGCTCTGGTCATTTGCCTGGCGACCCCTTCACTCGGGGCTTTTTTAAATTTAATCAAGTCCCACTGAAATAGATGCTGGTTTGCGTGCCCGGTGTGTGTCAGAGGCCTAACTCATCGCCATCTTCAGGGTGCCTGTAAGCCATATTCGGCGACACCTCTCCAGCGTGCAGTGCCGCAAAGCGGAGTGGTTTTCCACCCCAGACTTTAACTGACGGCCCGGCTGGCTGGCTGTAGTCACACATTGTGTTTTGTAATAATATGCAGATCCACTTGGCACACAGGCGATTCCCGAAAGAATCGAAGGGCTAAAGACATTTTAAAGGCGGGGAGGGGGGAATGGCTCTGCTAACTGGGTCCCATTTCTCTTGGCGATCTAATTTATGGTGTCAGTATTATTTCAGCGTTTGCCACAGAACCTAGAGTCCTCCGGGAGATCAGAACTCCCTCACAGCCTCCGCTTTGAGTCTGTAGAACACGTTCATTTATGAACAGTCCGCTCTCAATTGAGAAAGGGCGATTTTTCTCTCCTGACACAGAGGTGTAATTATTTTCATTTCCCTCTACCCCTGCCTTTTTAATTTCATAAAAATGCTCTCCCCTTCTCACGGCTTTGCAAATGAGGTTTCCCCCAACATTCACCTGTGATCTCTTCAGGCTGGAACACGGGAGGTGAGCCCGCCCAAACTTATGAATCAAGTCCCTGCAGTGAGGACCCCATCCAGAACGCTTTAGATCAGTGCTGGGGGCTTGGTGTCTGGCTGGGACTGTCTGTTCCTAACCGCAGAGCTTCGTTGAGATGCAAATAACCTCCCCTCCCCCCGCCCCTCCCAAGGAGTAGCGATTTTATATTTGATTTCCTTTTTTTGTTGTTTTTTGTTTTTTTGTTTTTGTTTTTCTCGTTTTGTTCCCCCCGCATAAACCCGACAAATGTAGGTGTCTAGTCATATACAGGTCTTAGCAAGAAAGAAAGTTCGAGAAATTCAAGCCGCCATTAAGGTACGTCTGGCTTGCCCAGTTGTAGGGGGCTTTTCATCTCCATGGTTACAGGCTTTTCCTTTGTTTTCCTCCCTTCCCCTACCCTGCAGGTGTCTAGTCACATTCAGGTTCTTGCCAGAAGGAAATCTCGTGATTTTCATTCCAAGCTAAAGGTATGCGCTTTTCTGCTTTTTGGCTCGTGGTTGCTATGCACCTCACTTCCTGTTTTCCATGGTGACTGGTGAATGCCTGGTGCCGGGATTCTTGTAACCTAGCTTCCTAGCATGTGAGAGCTGTTTACATTTCTTTGTGTCTAATCTCTCTGTACTGGCCTCACGTTAAACTCTGTGTGTGTGTGTGTGTGTGTGAGTGTGTGCGTGTTCCCAGTAACAACGCAAACGCAGCGGAGAGCTGGCCTTGATCACTTCAGCACAGACACATGATTAAAAAAGAAAACAAAATAAAACTATTCTAATAACCGCCCTGTAGCACTGAGCTAGCAATTTGCACCCAGAGAAACAGTTGATATATACTTAAGAAAAGAAAAGAAATAAATCATTCCCTAGAGTTGTGAAATGACTTTATAACACACATTTAGAAATGACTCTTCCTTTGTATTTTTTAAAAAATGCTTAGGGGAACTGGAGAGATGGCTCAGTGACTGAGAACTCTGCTGCGCCTCCAGAGAACAGAGGTTCAGTTCCCAGCATCTTAGCTGCACCCCACAACCATCTGCAACTCCAGTTCCAGAGGTTCGATGCCGTTTTCTGGCCTCTGCCAGCAAAACACACAGGCACATAGATAACAGTAGTAGTTGTAGTAGTAGTAATAATAATAATAATCTTAAGAAAATGCATTTTCATGTATGTCATTGAACACAGTATTTCCATCAGAAAATATTGTCTGACGTGTCGTTTATTTTAAATAGGTCTCTTTGAGTAGAGAAGTCTAAACCAGGCATGGTAGCTTTTACTGGTGATCCTGTTACGTAGGAGGCAGAGGCAGGGAGGATTGCTACAAATTCATAATAGGGTATTATCTCAAAAATAGAGGAGAGAGCTACAGATATGGCCATAAGCAAAAAAAAAAAAAAGATGAATCTTGGAGATAGCTGAATTCTCAAACTTGTATGCCGGTTTATTGTAGAGCTTTTTATATATGCCTCATTTAAAAATCCTCTCCACTGGCACACAGAAATCTAATCAGGCCAAATCAAAGAAAATTAAAATGCCCATGTTTTAATAAATGCAGCACTCTCGGGGGTGGCCGAGAGCATGGCAGGAGAGACAGAAAACCAGGCAGCACATGCAAAACTCCTCTTGGCCTCCACTTAAATACCCTGTGGGAGTGATCAGGGAGGAGTCAGGACCCTGCATGCTGGGATTTGGAGTCCAGACCAACACAGCTCCCAGGCCAGGGGACTGGAATGGATGCCAGGGGCTGGGGTGATGCTCCCAACTTAACATCCCACCTCTCATATTACTTTAAGTAAAATTTAAGAATTAAGACATTGACAATTTTTAGTTCCGAGTTCCTTTTCCCACTTCACAGTTTATAGTAAAGTGTGCACAACTTTTGTGTTTCTGCAATGCACTAATCCACAACCTCTGGGAAAATCTTGAGTTCATAGTAAAAATTAATTTAGAATCATGGTGTATCAAATGTTGCTGTTCTCACCCGCGCGTGCCCCCTCCCCCATTACATTTGTGGTTTTATTCCACACCAAAACAGTGTCATTTCATAGTGCTGAACACTGGGACCCCCTTTCCTGAATCCATCAACTTTAAAAATGCAATCCAGGCCAACTGGCATAGAGCTAGGATAGGGAGGGACAGAGGATGTGCGCTCTGCAGTGGGCAGCATGCTTGCTCGCTCGCTCGCACGTGTGGCTGATGGTGGCTGGCTTGGAGCTGCACTGGCTGAGCAGTTGGAAGGCTAAAGGAACTTTCTAGACCCTGCTTTTTAACCAGAGGTGCTGTACTCTCTCTGTGGATGTAACTACCCCAGCGCTTGCTCAAATTCTCACTCTGATTCTCATTTCTCTAGGCTAATGAATTAATGATGTACAAAGAAGTTTATAGTTATCAATTTTGTATTTCCATCTGTGATGTGACAAGCTATTTCTCCACTTGTGTGTGTTCCCTGTAGGCTTCTAGGGTGGGGGTGAGGAGGGTGGGGGTGGGAGCTGAACGAAAACCTCAGAAGGTGATAAAAACCTAACTAGCTATCCCTTTGAGGTATGAGAAATCTCTTAGAGGCTTTTCAACTTTCTTTAAATCAAACGTGTCATGATGTTATGCATACACCTGTATTCAGACAGACATGATTGTTTTTATATATTTGTTCTTAAACAATAAAAAATAATCTGCTTTCTCCCCACTTTCAACCCATTCTTGGGGGTAGGCCCAAGGGGGCAGGCTCAACATTTGAGCCCCAGAAGTGCCACTGCCTTTCAGTGCCTACTTTCATTCTTCTTTTCCACACTATTCTTGTAGAAATAGAGTTCTCATAGGATGGTGGTGGCACACCTTTAATCCCAGCATTCAGGAGGCAGAGGCATGCAGATACCTGAGTTCAACTCCAGCATAGTCTACAGAGTTGAGTTCCAGGACAGCCAGGGCTACACAGAGAAACCCTGTTCTTGAAAAAGAAATAAAAAAAAAAAGAAACGGAGTCCTCCGTGTCTCTCTCCATCACCTAATTCCTGTCAAATGTTATAGGTATGGCACTCATTGGTGGGCTCTTGGTGGGCAATTCCCTGTCCCAGAACTAGCCATATAACTGGAACTCTGAGGTACAGGGCACTGTTGACTGATAGCAGGAGGAGCCATGATTCGATGTGGAGGAAGCACCATGCGCACACGCCTGAAGAAGGCCTGTTAGTGCCTGGGATTTCAAGGACACATGTTTAATTCTGATGCAGAACCTTCTGTGTTCTCTCATTGAAGCCCACAAGTTTGCTCTACATTGTTCTGATTTCAAGAAAAAGTGTGAAGAAATTATGGTTCAATGGGTCAAGACCCTAACTGACTTGGCAGAAGCTACCAGACCTCATAAAGAGCTAGGGAGGGATTTGAACTTGGCTGTTTCTGAATCTTAAACTAGCAGAAGGCTTCATGCCAGCATTCAATAGAGAAGCGGCCACTCTTCAGTCCCTGGAGCTGGACACACAGCCCTTCCACTAAGTGCCTACATTGAGGCTCCTAATATATAGAGGTAAATTGGAGCAGACACTGGTGGTCACCAGTAGCTTTGTGGAAGATGGTACCTTATCACCCTCTGAGAACCTCAGGACAGTCCAGGAGAAAAAAAGAGTGGCCAACATTGATATATCTGCTTGCCAGTCATGTTCCATGGACATTTTAGTCTGATGTCATTTCACTGGCCACCAGCAGAACATGGGTTCATGTCTGCAGATCTTGCAGGGGGAGGTGATATCGGAGTCCTCTCTCAGCGCTCTCTTCTGGTATCCAGCAGCACACTGGGAAGACACAGTGGCGGGTATCTTCACCGAGTTCACCTCGGGGACAGACTGATTGTCCTAGTTGAACTTTCAAAATACCCGGCGAGATAAACTCACTACACAGTTTGAAGTCATCTTGAAAATCACATAAATAGCTTCCGGGTATGCAGTGGGGGTGGCAGGAAGCAGCCAGGATTACATGAGCTGTTGTATTTTCCTTGAGAAAGATGTAGGAGGCGGTTGGAGAAGGTGACAGATGACTTGGCTACCACTGGTCTATTCTCATTGGCAGCGCCTTTTTCCAGGCTATTCCTCATGTCACCATATACCCAGAAATCAAAGTGGGACGTGTGTTTGGAGTGGGTGGGTGTTGTGAGTGACGGTGTGGGGGCGTGTGTGCGTGTACCTTCTGTAAATACTAAAGCCAGGATCTCATTTCCTTGTCTTCCCACAGAGTTGGCAAAATTGGCGTGTGTACAACTGGGTCCCTGCTGGGTACTCTTCCCCTGAGCCAACTTGCTTTAAATGTGCATGTTTTTTGTGTGTGGGAGACACACACATGGAGGTGTGTGGGGGGTGTAGATAAATGTTGACGTTGGGTGTTTTCCTCAATTCCTCCCTACCTTATATTGAGACAGAGCTACTGATCTCCCTGATTAGGCTGCTCTGGCCACGCAGCTTGCTCCAAACTCCCTTGTTTCTACCTCCTGAATCCAAAGACTCCCCCCTTATGTGGGTGCTGGGGAATTCAGATTCAGGCCCTTACACTTTCATGGGGGATGTTTCACCCACATTCATCCCCCCTCCCCCACTTTAACAACAAACCTTGTTTTAAGGTGCAACTGTAGCATGGAAGATCAAAGTGGATCTAATCGACACTCACCCTTCCAGATCCTTAGCTTCAAGTCGTTCTCATTGGCTGCTCCGTGGAGTACAGATTGAGAAACCACCAACCCTGCCTTAGGCAGAAGGCCAAGGAGGTCTCTAACTTCGGGCTTTTTTTTTTTTTTCAAACCTTAGTATCCCACATTCAATGCGTGTTCCTGACACATTTCTCCGAGCAAAAGAATGACTCATGGAGGTGACAAAACCTCTCCTGACATTCCCAGTGACCATGTTGCTATTGACTGGTTCTCAGAGTGACTGTAGGCTCAATCAGCTCCCAGATATGCAGACTCTAAGTTGGTCTCCATCTTAACATGCGGGACAAGGTTCTGTTGAACTTTAAAAATAAGGGAGTGATTGCTTCACTTAACCTCTGGGGTTTCTTCAAGTCTGGTGCATTGTAGACCTTGGCCTTGTAGAGCTGGTAATCTGGGGAAACACTGAACTTTGTGCTAATTCCCTGGTCAGTTTCCCACATGAAACAGGGCCCAGAGAAGAAAGAACATATGATCTGAGGGTGGACCATTGAAGAAAATTCTGTGGAGTGGGTCCAGTTAGACCAGGGCATAGAGGAACCTATTAAGTTTTCATATAGGTAGGGTATCTGGAGCACCCTGAAGAGTACAGTAGACCATGATTAAAGCAGCTCTGCATCATGGCACTGAAGTGGGAGCTGCCCGAGGTGCTGGGAAGCACCCAGAAGTTATTCATAAAGCTCTTCTGGAAAGACCTTAAAGCTTGCTCTATCCTAGGTATATAGTAAGAGAGGTCAAGTTAGAGGCAGCAACCCAGTGCCTGGCCTATGATAATGTGTTAGGAGAAGTA